GAACTTCGTACCTGTTTGTGGTGATCTTACTCAAACGAATACCTTTCAAACATGGGATTAATAACTATTAAACTCTCTCCAATGACTGTTCAGCTCTTTAGACCTTCAACAATCAGATAACTCCTTGAACATGTTGGCGTCATTTCCTTAGGCGTCGTGTCCGAATTTAATCTTACACTATGTTGATGAACTCAACATCCGGTTGCAGTTCTATTAGGTGTTTCTAGATGACGGCGAGGTAGTCTTTCACTTTATGACTTCCAGGTTGCAAACTTGGAAAGTTGGCAGAACGGAACAAAGTTCTGCTGAAAACGCGAATGCGATAGAAAGAAATACTGTTCGCGGAAGTCAAAAAACGACTGTATTTTAACCGCTTATTTAGCTTGAGTAGCATGAAGGTAACGGAAGTTTTTAAACTTCAATTCCTTACGGCAAACATGGGCATGTGAAACCGCAATCAATTTTTTCTTATCAAATACCAAAACTCAAAAAGATATGAGTCGAAGTGCGTGTATTATTTTCCGGCGGAAAGTTGCCAGGTTGTCGATTTGATTTAGCAGCTGCTTTCATCCCGTGGCGGTAACTTATGCTAGCTGCATAGGTAATGGGTGTGTCAGAATCTAACAAGTTATAGTAATGTGTGGCAGATCATGTCTCATATTTCCAGTCTTCATTTGTTATTACAGAAAGTGCGAATGTGTGGAAGTGTTCAGACATCTGTTACAGTAATTGACGATGCGTTCTCTTGTTGTAGAGAGGTAGAGATGAGACGGATGCTGGTGGAGCGCGATGCGCGCTGCGCCCGCACCCTCGTCTCCTTTGCCGATGAGGCATCCTTTGTAGCTGCCTTTCCCTCCTACGCTGCTAACACAACGCTGGGTAAGCGGTCAGGTTTAACTTCCTCTCAGTCGCGAAAGAGACCGATGCGTCACTGCCCATTGACGGGTCGAATAGCACGCTACCTCGATCCCCTCACCCGTACGCCCTATGCCGATCTGGCAGCTTTTCGCGCCCTCCGGCACCTCTACCGCCTTCACTTGGAGACAGGCGCATCTCCAGTCGATCTGCTTCGAAGATTTCGCAATGGTGAGATCAAATTAGGTACTGACGGTGACTGAAGCATTTATCTCCCATATCCTCTGTATTTCTATGTAAACTGGTTTTGTGAATAGTAAATCAAAGTAATGATTTTACGAAGCAAGGTCCTTTTTCTCTCTTGGCTGCTGTGGCTATTCTTTTCCATTGCTTTGTCAGTCTTTTGGGAGAGGATTTTTTTTTCATTCGAGCGATGTATTTTTCTGGATTCTAAAGGTAAGGAATTCGCTTTCAATTTTGAGGGCAAATGGACTAAGCACTCGTTTTCCCTTCTTTTCAATCATTTCCCTATTTCGTCGGCTTTTGGCTGTGTTATTCTCCTGA